AAATAATGTTCTTTTTAGCAACATCATATGACCCCTTTAAAGTTTCATGTTATGTTGACAAATAAATCTTTCAGTGAGTAAAACTGGCTGTGTCTATAGTATTATAGACTACACAATATTATTAGCCTATATTATTTTTAAATACATTTTTAAATGATTATTATTTTTTAATTATTGTCCCTGGGTTAGTAGGATACTCTTGTAACAAAGTAACGGTGGCTGGGGCAGATTTTTTAAGCATCAATTCTGCTTAAAAAGATGCGAAAGCTTACGGACCTGTTGCTATGACAGCAACTCCGGGATGAGCTTCGAAGAACCAAACAATCCAAGATCATGCCAAATCGTCAACAATCAAATCCAGCTAACTGAGTTAGCGACGTACGAAGAACGGGCCCCAGAGATGTTTAAATAAGCCCATCTTCATCACATGACACAAACACTGAACTAAACTGGTTGCACCATTGATTTCTGATATCTTAATAATAACATGTTGTGTGGTGCAAGAACCTGACCAACTGAATATTTATTTTAGTGATATACTGTACTCTGGAAAAAGAAAAACATACACATACACTTGCACATTTAAAAGCTTAAATGGAAAACATCCTGATTTTTATTTTTTTTCTTCAGAATAATGACCAGCCTTTAGTAGAAGGGAGCAACACCAAAGCTTATGAAAAAACGGACATGATTGAAACACCTGAACCACATGACTCTGATTCATCAGTCAGCAGCACAGGTAACAAAATGATAAGATCAGATTTTTATTTTATTTTTATTTTTTTTGCTTAAGTGAACCTTGTTCTCATATTGCTGTATACTGATGTGTTTACCAACTTTTCTTTGGTGTTTAAGATCCTAGGTTTTTCAATCTAACCATTATAATAACTGGAAACTCGTCATCAGTCCAGTTTGGACATGAAAACGTTCTACTGGGAGAAAAACATCCAAATAATGAAAATGCAGAAATATACAGGATTATTCCTTTACAGAGGAAGATATCAGAACATCACGTCACTGTGATCAACATGATTGACTTACATGAGACTGAACACGTGGATCATCTCATCGATCAACTAATGCATGAGAATGAAATTCACGTCTTCATCTTTGTTGTGCGACTGGGTCAGTTAACAGATGCTGATAAGCTGGGTCTTGAATGGCTTCAGAGAGTGTTTGGTGACAAAGTTCTTCAGTTTGTGATGATTCTCTTCACCTATGAGAGAGAAGAAGAGCGTGACACTATAATTGATGATCTGAAGAAAAACCCTGTTCTGGAGCAGCTGCTGGAGAAATGTGGAGGAAGATATGAGACCTGCAACAAGATGATGAACAACCAATCAGAGATGAGAGACCTGATGAAGAAGATTGAGCGTATGTTTAATGAGAATAATCATCAACGCTATACTGGGGAGATGTTCAACACTGCATTAATAAAGAGAAAAGAGCTGGAAAACAGTGAACATAAAAGTAAGAAAACCGTTTCTGTATTTCCCCTGTTTACCCCAAATATTTATCTAACATTCTTATTCAAAAATCACTAATGGTATAGACACATTTGTGGATAGAGATGCATGATATATATGAGTTCAAATTTCATTGGTTTAAATTTGTTGTTTAGTAGATTACAGGAGCTCTTTATCATTATTGTTATAAGTAAACAATCAACTATAGTAAGTAATATGCTGATACTGACCTCTAGAGGTGATATTTGAAAAGAGACAATAGTAAAAAAAAAAAAAAAATGTCCTCCACAATCCAGAGTGCCATTTTAATATTCCATATTTTGAAATATGCAGTAGTGATCAGAGTCACACAACTTCTTTCCCATCACAACCAATTTTCTTATTATCTACTTAGAAATTAACATATTGTAATCACAGATAAGTACTTTACCTTTAACTAATGAATGACAAGAAAAATAAATTATATACTCTATTAGTAAAATTATTTATGCCTTAAGAACAATTCTTTATTCCAGAAATAGAACCTTCAATCAATGAAGAAACAAGGAAGTCAACCACAAAAACAGAGACCAGAGAGCCACATGGGGTAAGAGGAGATTAATGTTTGCTGCTTGATAGAGCATGTTGGGAAGCAAGGAGAATAATGCTAAATAAATTTGTAAAGTCTTCTAGGACTATTAATTATTATGGGTGATTAAGGAATGTATTAATTACAAACAAAAACAAACAAACAAACAAACAATAAATAAACACATATTTCTCATTTTAGTAGACTATTGTTCTCCTAATTGTTACAAATATTCTGTCTATCTGTGTTTAGACAAATCTTCAAGTTATGGGATTAAAACAAATATCTTTAAAGGAACTGAAGCATGTGATTTCTGATTGGATTAAATCACATGCTTCAGTTCCTTTAAAGATATTTGTTTTAATCCCATATCTTCTATATATATATTCATTAATGGAAATACTCTCCAGACTAACAATATATTGTATTATAGTAGATGCAAGTATGAAACATTAAACATGAATTCTATGTCAAAAATATTTGCATTTATTAGGCTATTGTACATTTCTGATATGCAATCTTAATAACCCCCGCCCCACACACACTCCTGTCCCACCCACGTTTTAAAGCAAAGTTACGCCAATGACCATGACATTATTCTAACGTTTTTGGTTCCCAGAACGTTAGTTTGTTAAAGGAGTCATATGACGTTGCTAAAAATAACATTATTTTGTGTATTTGGTCTAATGCAATTTGTTTATGTGGTTTAAGGTTCAAAAATCACATAATTTTCCACATAATGTACATTATTGTTTCTCCTCTATGCCCCGCCTTTCTGAAACGCGTTGATTTTTACAAAGCTCATCGGTCTGAAAAGTGAGGTGTGCTCTGATTGGCCAGCTATCCAGTGCGTTGTGATTGGCCGAATACCTCAAGCATGTGACAGAAATGTTACATCCCTTACCATACTGTGATGCCGTCAACCAGCGCGATGAGACAAAAAACAATAAACCCTATTACAAACGAGGCATTTGTTGCATCCAGTGGGGACATAATTACTGATTATAATGACTTATACTGTCTTTTTACGTATTGCGTTCCATATCGCGCTGCGTAAACATAAAACCATGTCTGCATTTGTGATCGGAGAAATGACAAACAACAAGCCCTACTCTACACTGCCCAAAAAACTCGCTTTAAATATA